CACAAATGTCACATATATTTTTAAATGTTTTTCTTCATTATGATGTTGCTCAGTGGAGCTGCAGCACTAATACAGTACATTTCATCATTTCATCAAACTACACACTTGTGTTGCTCACTAAACCATCATCAAACAATTCATTACACATTCTGAATATTTACTAGTCATGTTGTGAAGTCATTTACATTTTGTCTAGAATTTGCAACACCACCAACTCCTCATAATGCACACTGACCGGTAATCAAATCGTCAAGCTAAACGTTGCCAGTGTATTCGGGCAGGACTGCATGTACCAGACATTATGTGATCATCTGAGTCATCATATGAGACACCACAGTCACTGTAGCTCTTACTGCAGGTGTACAAGGGTCGCAGACAGCAGCCTGTGCCTGTGCACCGATCGTCCTTTTATAAAATCTGCAGTGCATGTTGTGCCTGCAGACACACTGCCTGCACGCCGCATTGTCTTCTGCCAGCCTTTGTGATAGTGGGCTCACAGGGAGAGACCCAGATGTCTCCTGACTGCCTCTTTGTGTCAGTGTTGATTAAAAACTCCGCTGACTATTGTAGTTGACATGATGTGGTCACTTTCTCCCATCCTCACTTGTTAGTTGTCAGACCTTATCAATCTCATGTCAGCAGAGAAAAAGATATAAGATGACTACAGTGTTAGTCCTTTGAAGTACAGTAAGTAATTAAACTTCACAGTGCGAGTCAGTTTCTACACTTTTGAATGTTTCCAGTGTGCAGATTTGGTCAGCAAATTGTAGTCGGGCATTAGTAATTCATGCAAATGTATTCCTACGCACTCAGACTCAGGAAGTCAGGCAAGCATAGAATATAAATACAAACACTGAGCCCACTTATGGGTAAAATGAACTCCAGGAAAACAATATAACATGAAACCAACAGCAGTGGTTCAACTTGTTGTGCCTTATGTTGAGTCTTATACATTATGTCCACACACTGTTTTTCTTTCATTATGTGAAACCCCAATGTCCACTGCCATGACTGTTCTGACAGAGACTGATGCATTGAGGCAGATTCCTTCATCAGATGCAGTGAGGTGTAATGGGAGCTTGTTAGTTTGACGAGCAGAGGTTTCTGTGTTGTGTGAGTAATGACTGATGAGTCATCATAGAGCCAGGCACCCTTGCTGGCCCCTCAGCAGCCCCTCCACACTCTCCAAAACACAGAGATGTACCTTCAGAGATTTGATTCTCTAGATTTCTCGTGGTTCAGGTCTACATCAGCCCTGTTGTTCTAAACAGCTTGTTTAATGTTAGTACAAATTGGACAATGCAATCAGTTATGCTTGACCTGTGTCTGAATGGGATTCCATCAGATATTGCTGCAAATTGACATAATGATCACAAGTTTCCCATTTGTTCGTACATTTACTGCCCAGAGAAAAAAAAAACAATCTTCAGAATGCTTTTGAGTAAATCATATGGATGGTTAAATCTCAAACAGATAAGATACCGTATTTGCAGCAATGCAGATGAGATGTGACCTTTACAGTAACTTGGAAAGGAGTTCACATGTTGTTTGTCTTATGTAATTTATGGACAGTAATAAGTCCCTGTGGTAAAGCTCATTTAAAGTCTCTGGTACACAGCTGTCTTTCTCACTTTTACTGTTTCTTCTCCTTCCTCTCCTTCTCTCCCAGTCAAACACAAACATTTCTTCATCGCACTCTACACGCTTCCTTAAAACTTCACAAAATTCATCAGTAATGATGAGTTTGTTCAAATTAGATCTAGGCTGATTCTGCATAGGCTGAGAGTACACAGGGACAATTACTGCATGGTGACACATGCGTGGTGACACAACAGATGTGGATGGAAGCTTAAAGTACAGTCTCTATTTAAACACATTCTTGACAGCACATCATCAAGGGACAACACTTCCCACTTCAGGTCTGAACCTTTGCTCATGTTTACTGGTCTGACTGCTGAGATAAACAGCTGGAAAACTCTATAGTCTTAAGTCTGTTAGTCTGATGTCGTCCCTGCTGTGGTGACATATAATGCAGATATCACTGGGGAGACTTCTTTGAAATAATGGTGAACATAATATAACACAAGTACAAAAATAGTAAACTGATGATACTGAAACACCTGACTAAAGATACTAGATGCAGTTGAAGGTTCTTGCCTCTTACTCAAACAGGAGCAGAGGAAGGGAAGAGAAAAATACTTTTATGGGCCTTGAAGTGCAAACATCCTGGATTCCTGAATAGTCATAGCTGGGGAATGATATTAACAATCTACAAATTACAGCCTGCTTGAAGGACCAGTTTACAACTTATCCATTGCAATTTACTGGCTTTCTGTGAAATAATATCACAAGTACATGATATTAATGGACATGTGGATAACTATGGAGCACAGTTAATTGCTTTGAATATTAGTTTGATAATTTTGCATGTGATTTTGCATGCTAACATGATATGTAGAGATATCAGACAATATCCTTATTAATATTATAATAATGATATCATTGATCAACAATTACACCCAGCGCTTGTATTAGACTTTTTTGTTTCATCAGCCAAGTTGCCTGTCACCACTCCCAGTACAATGGAATGAATGGAATTTAACTTGTAATGGTCAAAGCATCAGCATCAACAACAGCAACATTTCTTTCTAGAACCATGTCCCAGTTAGTCAAGATAATCCTGTGTGGTTGTGAACAGTTTTTATTAGGAACAAATTTCTATCAAGAAAATAAAGCAATAAATAGTGGGTTGTATCTTGTGGATTTACTTTCATGAACTGACCCCATAAAGAAAACATTTAAATTCATTGATTTTTAACTAGCTGAAATTAAGCAAGTTTAATTTGACTTACTTTTTGGTAATCAAAAACTTTTAAGGGCTCATACTTTGGGAATAGCCTGACTTACCCAAGAGGCTGTATTTTGTATGGTCTCTCCACAGAATCTTATGTAATAGGTCTCATAAATGATTAAAAACTGGGTGAGAGAAGTAGATCGTCTGTTATCTAGTCTGACAAATTTTGGGTGATTCTAAGTGGAGCGTTTTGTCATCCACAAAATCACTCATCCTATCCATTAGTCACAGGCCAAAAAAGGTCTTTCTTTTATTTATTTCACTTTACATGGTAGTGAAATGTACGGCACTAGCAAGCGTGCGTCACTACTTTTTGTATTATGGAGGACAAAGAAGCTTTAGAGTGATGATTTGCAGAAAGCATGGCAGTTTTCTAGTCCAGGAATACACAACTCGCAACTGCAAAAACAAACAGTGCTTTAGGGGAGAGGTGACGAAGAGTGGAGCATGGATCGTATCCCTACCCTTGTGCAGCTGACGAAATCCAAGCAGATAAAGCTGAGAGCAATGTTCTCTCTCAACGTGAGCTCGTGTTGCTCAAATCCAACTAAACTATTCATATTGCAAGTCCCTGTCAGGAGAAAGATGTTTAGCACACAAACAACTCATCTCAAATATGGAATACCTTCTTATAGTCTGGTCCATGAATAAGCAATGATGGACGTCACTGCTTCACTGGTAATAGCACTCATGTAGTGCCAGGCCAAGTTTATGTGCATTTACAGTATCGAGGCATGTGGTCTAACTCAGATTGGAGTTGATCGGGCTTGATGGTGCCATCGGAGTCTGCGAGACACACTAATCCAGATGGCAGACGGGGTCTGACCCTGCAGGAGGACGTTAAGCCACTTAACTGTAATGCAAGGTGAGAGTGGCAGGTGCTTTGCAGCCGAATTTACAAACATTCACATTGTGTGGATTTCCTGCAGGCATCATGTTGCACTGTGACAGATACAGTGTGGAGAGAGAAAACACTGTTGCACACTGACTTGGATGATTGACCTCATCTGTATGAAGTGCTGATCGTACAGTTCCAGTGACAAAGCCTTGAAGAGGATATCTGGTCACATGCTGCCTCATTCAGTAAAGTCTACACCCAAATCTGCAGTATGATTTAGGTCTGCAGTCTGTACTCTACTGTCACTCTAATACTTCTGTTATTTTTAGATTTATCAGTCTTAGGAAAGTTTTGCTGCATGTAAATCTGGGAATAACTAAGCCCCTTAGAGCTTTGCCACAAAGGCTTGTAAAGTTTCATATTTAAACCATCTGCAGTTATTTCTGTTTATATTTGTTCTTTTTGCTCATATAATCTCATTTTTGAGCACATGCACAGCTACCAAGGGTGGCTGTCAGCAAGAGACTGCTTTTAAAGAAAGATCCTCTTTCTGTGGTGAGGCGAGTGGGAGGAACTTAGCTGAGGAGGGCTGCTGAGGGAGCGGACAGGCAGGGAGGAAGGGAAGCATAGGGGGGGAAGCCAGCCGAGAGGGGAGGAGCCTGAGGGCTTTGGCTCCTCAAGCTTCCTCCTGATGTCACCGTTCAGCTGCTGTAATTCAGTGTCCATGTGAAGGGAAGGCAACCCAGATAGGGGAGGGCTTTTGAGGGGAGACAAGGGGAGGGGGGAAGGCAGAGAGGGTGGGGAAAAGGCTGGTTGTGTGGACAGTGAAAGGGCTCGGCAGAGCTTCTTAGTCAGTAGGCCTTGTAATCACTTGGCAAGTAGTAACAATGGGGCCAGCGTGCCTGAGAAAATCCCCATCTGCAAGATGTCTGGGACTGAGATCAGGCCTGCTAACTATGAGTGCATTTATGTGACTGAGAGAGAGACGAGAGAAAGGAGGAAAAGAGCTGAAGGGAGGAAAAGATGTGGGGTGGTGAGCTGTGAGTGGAGCTGGAATGCCATTGTTAGAGCTCGCAGAGAGGGACAGCTGCCTCTGAGGCCTGCTAGCTCATGTGAGACAGGCAACCCAGCTCACCGTCACCCCCCCCCCCCCCCCTTCATCTCCCCGCAGACAGACAGACAGGTGGTGCCTGAACTCGGCCAGCTGGGAGTCAAGGGAAGGAACTAGGAGGAATTTGGGGAGTGGTATTTTAAAGCTTCCTCTCCTTACTCTCAAGAAAAAGGGCCTAGCTATATTTGTCAAGGCACTGTTCGGAGCTGAAAGACAGACTGTGGGAAGCTTTAGCTCTTGGTGCTAGATGTCGTGCAGGCCTGATAATTTGAACCATCCCGGGTTAGACTGGGGGAGCAGTTGTGAAGATGCAACTTCAAAGTAGAGATTATAAACCCTGCTGGTGGATCAGTGGATCAAAGATGAGGCAAGGCTGAAGAATTGTACAGTCACGGGGCTGTGACGCATGAAGATGTGATGGGTGAGTTGACATCGCTCTCTAAGGAAAGGTTTGTGTGTGTTTTCTTAGGATTACTTAGATTTAGACGATGGCTTTTAGCTGGGTTATTAATTGCAGTTATGTAACATTAAACTAATAGTGAATCTCTCTCAGTTGATAGAATAATTTATAATGTGCTGGTCTTTTGCCTGGTCTGTGTCCTTGAGGTGTATTCAGTTGCAATAAATGGGATTTTCTTTCCACATCCATATCCATATACTTATCCATATGATGTACTTTTTCTTTTCTTGAATCCTTTCTCTGCTACATGAATATTATAAATCACCAGTGACTGAATAATGATGTTTTACAGTTACTGATGATTTACTATATTCTCATCCACAAGCCTGTTTTTGGAATAAAGATAGTATCCGTTCTCAAATTGAAGTTCGCTTTTAGGTTTGTTTCTTTGTAGATAAATCAAGTCAAAAATGACACTTGTGAAATCTACAGTTCAAGTTGTTACATTCCACTGCTCTCAGCCTCAAACTGATTATATTAGCACAATTATTTCAAGCACAGTGTGTCTTTGTGGGATATCTAAAGCTATAAATATGAATGTAAAGTGGGCAAGCTAACCTTTTCACAGAAAGATCCCTTGGTTTTTATATTCTTTGTTCGGGAAGTGATTTTTCACTATAGTGCAGATAACCTTCTCCGAGTAACAGTGACTGACACAATGTGCTGCAGGAGATGATGGCTTCCAGTGTTTGTTTGTTTTGTTGGTTGGAGCCATTATGAAGAATATATGAGCACCCATGACTATACTTTAAATGGTCCACATCCCAAAACCATAATCAAGCAGGATGTTGCTGTCACAAAGGAAAAAGAGAAACCAGCTGTGTGTAGGATGAGTAGCTTCCTAGTCAGCCTACGTAGCATCCAAAGTTTTTACAGAGCAATTCATTCAACTTTTTAGGGCCTGACAGTTATTATTAAATTTATGTGCTTTCTGTTTGAAATGATAAATGAATTTGCCTTGCATGAGTTTTTTTCAGTAATTCAGCATGTCAGTACTCGTCATGCCACTGATGACACAGACTTTGTTTTATACCACTCCTGGAATTTTCACCGTACAAGTACTTCTCATTCAAGAGGCACAATGCAGTCTCAAGGTTATAAGAGGATGGTGCATTACAGTCGGGGACAGTGACAACAAGAGCAGCATGTGAAATGAAGAGAAAACTACAAAGAGCTAATGGCTAATGACGTGCTCTCTGCGATGCTTTTACTCAGTTCACTGACAAAAGGTGTATTAGAAGACAGAAGATCTCTGAGAGAAAGCCTTGACACACACAAACACTAGTCTCTGATTTTGTACAGCTGAATTGAACAAAAGTACTTAAGTAATGTTACAATACAAGATAACCGCCAAAACTGACCAATGGCTGAACTGATATTACATGAACTATAGATAGATAGATAGACAGATAGATAGATAGATCGATAGATACTTTATTTATCCACTAGTGGAAATTCATGATGCTGGTTTGTCAGCAGTATTTATTGACCACATTAAAGCAGCGTGTCTGTGTCTTTGATGTAATCCTTTATATGCTTATTTACAATATGACAGATGTACAACATGCCATTGGCACACTAAGATAATCTGTGCTTGACCCAGTGATACAATTTCATGTAACAGCAAATCTGCCATCTGAACAGAGAGTCAGCAGGCACCCACTCATAAAACAAAAGGTATGGTTTATGGTAAAATAATGTCAGGAATGAAACTTAAGAAATACTTACGCACTTTTTTTGTTGACAGCATAACATATACTGTACCTCTAACACCACTGTAAACACAGACATGTTGGCTCCTAGACTGCATAGTTGTCTGGGCTGAGCGTTCTGCCTTGTGGTGTTTATCACATGTATTAATTTTTCTTCTGCTGCATTAACTTGATTAGGATTTTCATTTAAAAAGTTAAACAACCTCTGGCTATATGGGTGTTTGTAAAAAAAGAAAAGAAAAAGAAAGCAGCTCATCCTACAAACAGAAGGGAGGGAAGGCATAAAATGCCAGCAGATACAGGACTTGGATGAGGTTTCATAACGTTAACAGCATAATGACTCATTTCTTCCTTGTGCTCATGCTGAGGGTAAGCAAATACGCCCTCCCCACCCTCGACCTCGTTTGAATGTTTCCTCAAGGCTTTCCTGACCTTTCTCCTGTTTCTTCCTCCCTGTGTGTGCAGGTTAAGTGGTCCCTGTGCCCCCTTTGAATGTCCGTCACTATGGCTAAGCGAGAGACTGGCAGCACCAGCCCTGTGGTCAGGCAGATAGACAAGCAGTTCCTGGTCTGCAGCATCTGTTTGGACCATTATCACAACCCCAAGGTCCTTCCCTGCCTGCACACCTTCTGTGAGAAGTAAGCTCTTAATCAATCAGTCAAGCTTTATTTGCACAGCACCGTTCATACAGTTCAAAGTACAGTTCAGGTGACTTACAGTAGAAACAAAAAACAGTAAAGCAATAAAATGTTTTCAAGCTAAATTAAAAGATGAAAGACTTTTAACCATTTTAGGACAATATCTATTAGAATTTATGCTTTTGAAATTATACTTAATTAAGAAGCAGAGCACATAGGAAAAGACATGTTAATAGTTTAATGCATTATATTGTTCTTTGTATTAACTCCACTTCATTTCATGAACTGGGATACATTAACAGGATGCTTAAAGACATTATGTGTAATGGCCCAAAATCACGCCACTTACACCAGCTATTCTCTCATCATTGTGGCTTCTGCATGATGTAAGGCACCAACCACTCTGAACTTGGCCGCAGGAAAACAGACAGCATACTTTATGGCACAGCATTGTTGGCAGCAAGCACTGATTTCCACAGCTTTGCTTTGCAGTTCTTATAAATAATTTGGTGCTCTGTTGTGCCCAGTAAAAAGTGGACCAGACGGCCCTTGTCCTCTAAGAAAGAGGTGCTAAACTGCTGCTTCAGCCCTGTAATTCATTTCTTTTGCATCTTGTCTCTGTGTAGATGTCTACAGAACTACATCCCTCCCCAGTCTTTGACGCTGTCCTGCCCAGTATGCAGACAGACCTCTATCTTGCCAGAGAAGGGTGTGGCCGCCCTGCAGAATAATTTCTTCATCACAAACCTAATGGAGGTATTACAGCGAGACCCAGAGTGCAGCCGACCTGAGGCCTGCAATGTTCTTGAGTCAGCCAGTGCGGCCACAGCTTGTCAGCCTCTCTCTTGCCCCAACCATGAGGGCAAGGTAAGTTAAAACAAAAGGACAGAGGGTGTTATATAACAGGTAAAATCTGTTAGAGATCAACCGCCAAGTTCATGAAACACTGTCTGCTTTTACAAGATGTATATGATGAATATTTTATCTGATATGTGTTGAAATCTAAGCAAATTAACCCACAGAAATATGACGTTCCATTGTCTCTTGCTCCACTGCACCATCTGCAGGTGATGGAGTTTTACTGCGAGTCGTGTGAAACAGCCATGTGTCTGGAGTGTACAGAAGGAGAACACAGGGAACATGTGACAGTTCCTCTGAGGGATGTGCTCGAACAGCATAAGTCAGCACTTAAAAATCAGCTGGACACTGTGCGCAACAGGTACAATTTTCAGAGCTGTAATCCATAACGGATCATGTCATTGTATTTGAAAAGATCTTGGAAATGCTGCAAAGAATTTGCTAATTTAAAAGTTTTTTATTGTGCTCTTCTCTTGCTTTCATCTGACAGACTACCTCAGTTGACGGCTGCCATTGAGCTTGTGAATGAAATCTCCAAGCAGCTCACAGAGAGGAAAAATGAGGCAGTGACTGAAATCAGTGACACTTTTGATGAGCTGGAGAAGGCCTTACACCAGCGCAAGACTGCTCTCATTACTGAGGTGGAAAACATCTGCAGCACTAAGCAGAAGGTCAGAGCTCTTTCAATTTTTTTCTTTTAATGGTAGAGATTGAACATTTGTCAAGTCAATTTTTATTAATTTAACACCAAATCACAACAGAAGTTATCTCAAGGCACTTTTCAAACAGAGCAGGTCTAGACCATACTTTACTGCAATGTTCCACATTTTAGTACAAGCATCACTGACTGTCTGCTTCTGCCTCTTTGGATATTCTTAGGTGCTTCAAGCACAGCTGACCTCTTTGCTTCAGGGCAAAGAAAACATTCAAAGCAGCTGCAACTTCACAGAGCAGGCCCTGAGCCATGGCAGTGCCACTGAGGTCCTGTTGGTCCAGAAACAAATGGGTGAGCGGGTCAGCGCCCTGGCGCGACACAGCTTTCCCGAATATCCCCATGAAAATGGACATCTGGAATGCCAGGTCGAGACGGATGGACTGAGGCGCTCCATCCAGAACCTGGGAGTCCTGATCACAACAGGGGCTGTAGGCCATACTAGTGTTGCCACCGGTGAAGGCCTGAGACATGCACTGGTCGGCCAGCACACCACCGTCACGGTCACTACTAAAGATAAGGATGGAGAACTGGTGAAGACTGGTAATGCTGCTCTAAGGGCAGAGATTATCTCTGCAGATGGAGTGTGCAATGAAGCTGAGGTGGTGGACAACAAAAATGGCACCTATGAAGTTGGATATACCATCCGCTCAGAGGGAGAATACTCCTTCTCTTTGCTACTATATGAACAGCCTGTGAGGGGGAGTCCATACCGTTTGCGTGCTGTCAAAGCGTCAGATGTCCTGCAGTCACCAGACGATGTGAAGAGAAGAGTGAAATCCCCGAGTGGAGGAGGAGGCCATGTTCGACAGAAGGCTGTGCGCAGGCCCTCCAGCATGTACAGCACTACCAAGAAAAAGGAAAACCCAATAGAGGATGAGCTGATCTACAGAGTGGGTGGGTTGAATAAGTGGCTACATCAGTTGTTAATTATGGGAACTGCCGTCTGAGCTGCATGATGTTTTTAATTTGAGTACCTGATGATGCAGAGTATTCAGTTTTAGACTCCCTCTGTGGCACAAAATAGTTCCCTCTGTTTCCTCTGTCTGTTCAAACACCAAGTAAGAGCTAAATATTTCAAGAGATACTTTAAGTGAAGTACAGCTGAACTACACTCTGAAGCAGCCTAATGTCTTGTTGATATGACAGGAACAAGAGGGCGAGATAAAGGAGAATTCACTAACCTACAAGGCATCTCCACCTCCAGTAATGGTCGGATCGTGGTGGCAGACAGCAACAACCAGTGCATACAGGTCAGTTTGTATTTTTCTCTCAAGCTGCAATAAAAAAAATTAATGAATTATTTCATTGTTTAGTTTGTGGAGTAATTGAATTTTCTCTTTGTCCAGGTCTTCTCAAATGATGGGCAGTTTAAGATGAGGTTTGGTGTCAGAGGTCGTTCACCAGGGCAGCTGCAGCGCCCCACAGGGGTCACAGTGGACATGAACGGTGACATCATCGTAGCTGACTACGACAACAGATGGATTAGCATCTTCTCCTCGGATGGCAAGTTCAAGGTGAACAGTCTCAGCCAAGCAAAAACATGCTTTCACTGTACAACTTAAGGTTTTCCAATGAATAACCAAACCTCCCCTGTGGCTGTCACAGAACAAAATTGGTGCTGGACGACTGATGGGACCGAAAGGTGTGGCTGTGGATAAGAACGGACACATCATCACTGTTGATAATAAGGCCTGCTGTGTCTTCATCTTCCAATCAAATGGGAAGCTGGTGACGAAGTTCGGAGCCAGGGGAACATCAGACAGACACTTTGCAGGTAACTGTGCGCTACTTCAAGTGACCTATAGTATGATCGTTTCATTAATGATATCTCTTATAGGAAACGACTGAGATGCACACCAGATGATTCGTCATGTTTCAGGGCATATGATTGGGCCAGATTTACAGATTTTATTTATGTTTCATTCTTTACAGGAATGTGTATTTGTAAAAAAAAACAAAAACAAAAAAAAAAAACATATTTATTTAGTGATCAGCATGTTTCACACCTAACTACCTAATGTATGCATGTGTAGCTGCTTGTTTAATTATGGGGGTCAATGCACGGTTAATGATTCTTTATTGTTGCATTGACAACCTTAAACTGTAAACAAACACCTGATCATCACAGTGCAAGGCAGAGCTGTAAACCAGCAAGAATTCATAATTCAGACTAATGCATGAAAAACATGTGATGGTGCTCCTCCTGCCTTTGCCCAAAATAACACTTAATAAGAATTGCTTGTGTTACTGGAATCCCACATTGAACTGGCTTCAGTTGTTGCACAGACAGCAGTATTTCAGTTGAAACTCACCCGTTCTTTCAATTTCATTTCTCACTTGGACCTTTTCTTTTCTTTTAGAAAAAAGTGGTGCAAACATTGCACTGGAACAAAAGCTTAGTAAATCTGGCCCTGTTTTCAGTAAGTAATTAATTCACTGTGAGTGTGAACTAAAGAAATAAATCTCTGTTCTTTTACATGTTGATGCATCAGCTCTGTCATGTCTCACGTCTTGTCCCACGTCAACTCTCCGAGTCTCATTGTGACCACTGTGTGTTTTGTTTTCAAAGTCCAAAAATAGTGCGGAACTTCCTCTCATGTGTTGTAAAGCAGTGGATGACGCATCTCTCCTTTGTCCTCCTCTGTCTCCTCTGCTGCTTCCAGGTCCTCACTTTGTGGCTGTAAATAACAAAAATGAAATTGTGGTAACAGACTTCCATAACCATTCAGTAAAGGTATGATTTGTTGCAAGTATGTGTGTACATTCTTTATTGTAGTAATCCTGTATTGGAAGTATTGTGAATAAATGGCTTTCAGGAAAAACAGTTTAGCTTGCCAAAGCTACAGCAAAACTTTTCTATCCACAATGATGTGGCAAGTCTTTCCAGGGTGCCTATAAAAAAACAATAACTTAAAACAGCAACTTAAAATGACTCAGTTTCAACAACCAAACAACACCTAAAAACTGATTTTAGAAATTAAAAAGTAAACAGCTGTTGGCTATGTTGCTTTGCTTCCTATTTTCCTATTTTTATAATGTGTGTCCATATTTTTATAATGTGTGAGAGCAGAGTGTCATTCTCCCATTTTCCTGTTTAATCTCTCCTGCAGGTGTACAATGCAGATGGGGAGTTCCTGTTTAAATTTGGCTCCCACGGAGAGGGGAACGGACAGTTTAATGCTCCAACAGGCGTGGCTGTGGATGCCAATGGAAATATTATTGTTGCTGATTGGGGTAACAGTCGGATCCAGGTTAGCTTGACAAAACTACATGGCACTGAATGCGGAGAGCAAACTTGTGAGTATGTCACTCACTAACCCAATCTGTCCCTTTTATGCTGTGTTACCAACCAGGTGTTCGACAGCTCAGGGTCCTTCCTGTCTTACATCAACACATCAGCGGACCCCCTTTATGGCCCCCAGGGCCTGGCCCTCACATCTGATGGTCATGTGGCGGTGGCAGACTCTGGAAACCACTGCTTCAAGGTCTACCGCTACCTGCAGTAGAGACCCGAGAAAGCCATCCTCACCACTGCAAGCACTGACAACGACACAACCAATGTATTCCACAGGGTGCAATGACCTTTCCAATACAGCCTTTTGATGTGCACATCAGCTGATCTCCCGGATATGATTAAGTGTCTGAACCTGTGTTTACTCTTTATGATGTGTATTGAAGGTTGATTTTAAAGTTGGGTGACGTAGCGTCCTTGGGACAAGTAATGGACATAAAGCTATGGACCGGTTTTAGAGAATGTGCGAAAGCATTATTGTGTGTTGTACACTGTATTATTACACCACACTTTCTGTGAGACCGGACAGGGTAGGAGATAGATTGAAGTATTTAATGAGCCATAACTTGTCCAAATGCATGAAGTTTTATTTTATCTTAATGCCTAGGCGACAACACAGTGTACCCATCGGTTGCTTTTCTCATGAACTAGTTAATGCTTACAGTGAAATGAACAGTGCTACGCTTCTCTAGCAACGAAATGTAAAATTTCTCATTTACTGACATCTCACATACAAATGTCACCACCATCTGTGCATTGATTTGCTGTATGTACTGTACATACATAAATGTATATTGTGTATATTAGATGACTCAGTATGTATGTGCTATGATTTTGAAACACACAGCCTTTTGGCTATTCAGAGAGCAGCAGTCAAGGATTCCAGGATTTTAAACATGTGTGTATGGCAGCTGTTAAAAAGTGTGCTTTTGAGACATACCCAGCACATGCTTAAAAGAAGAAGTGTGTCATATTTATTGCTAATGTAAGCAGCACAATAATCATTTTTGTTAATATCTGTTGTTTTAAAGGGAAAAAAAAAACAAAATGAAAAAAAATGCTAATTTATTTTATTTTATACACTAGTTCAGCATTTACAAATTATTTTTCTAAATTGATGTGCTTTTTTTTCTTTTGAGCTTCACACTTTATCCCTCCACCTGGAAGGGAAATTCCACCTTAAAGCAGAATTCAGTGTCCCCCCCTCACATCTGAAAAATTTAGATCAGTGTTTTGGCACATGAGCAGCTCTTTTCCAAAGCTTCAAACCCATCTTAACTTTCATTTGGGATGTCATCAAAAAGGAGAGTTTTCTAAGTTTCTCTGCTGAGGATGAATGGCTCAAGATATGGGTTCATAGAATGATCATTTTGCCTTTAACAATTGAAGAGCTTTATTCATTGAAGTGCTAACAGATCCAAACTAGAAATAATACAAATATCTCAGGAAATCCATCCAAATTAGGTCACTGTATCAATAGGACAACTTTAAATACTTTGATGGTATCATAGATTTTGAGGGAGACATTGGGAGCTTGTGAGAAAACTGTTGTACAAATGTAGGCTGGATCCAAGACCATAAAAAATATTGGGATGGAATATGAATTCTGTTTTACCATTTTTGTCTGTTTGTTTGTCTTTCTTTCACATAGGAAACAGTTACAAAAGTATTAAACGATAACTTATTAGATGGCATTTGCCAGCAAACTCATCCACGCTTCGCTTTAGAAAACACTCGCCTCTGATTCTGTCTGTTAAGCAATCTAACAAAACGCTGTTAGATCTGAGTTTCTGCCTGCACTACATCAAGCCATGACTCCATAAGAAAACTTGTACCAGTAGAGCTGTTGCTGCTCTTGCTCCTCCCAGTGTTCATTCTGTGTCATATGAAAGCCTGGTGCCAGAGCAGAAGAGGGACCGGGTGCAGGAAGAATGTAACTTCCTGGTCTGATATAATTACCCACAGCACTGTGCTTAAAAACCCGAACACCAACATTCACCCTCCCCAGTGTGGATTTTTTTCTTAGCTACAGGATGTGACCTGCTTTCACCAGTTAAGTCAACCAGGAAGCTGCTGTTTTTCATGCACCTGATCTGATGTTTGACTTGTTGCCAAACAGGAGCCCAGACATCTTTAAAGAGTCAAAGGCCGATTTTACCCTTACGCTGTTTGTGTCACACCAATACAAACAATTTTGTTTTCTCTATGAATATGCACTGGTAATAAAAGCACATGGTTTACTGAGTTGTTGTATATGTATGTGATTATTCATTATGCTTGAGGTGATCTGCTTTTCATGTAAATTAGGGCATTAAACTTAATCACTGAGTGTTGGTAATGAGGAAGTGATGACTTGAGTAGGACATAATTTGAATGAAATTTGGATTTCATAATCCTGAAATGAATAATGAGAGCAATCTCTAAACTGTTTGTAGTAGCTAAGTGTAATAATATTTATGGCCTTCTATCTCTCTTCTCAAAAGTCCTTATATTTAGAATTTTGGATTCTCACTTGGATCAGTACTTCTGAATTCTGTACATGGCCAAATGGTTGCATGTGATTTTGAGCATTTTTAGGAAAAGGTTTAGTGACCAGTGAAGGAACTGATATATTAGTTTAAATGGCAATTCCCCTGTGACACTGCCAAACTGAATTGTATGTTTCATCAAAAAAAAATGTCATATTGTTTTCTTGAAAAATTATTTATTTGCAGACCACGTTGTGCTTCTGGTCTATGTTACAAATACTTACAGCACATACAGTATGCATTTTTTAACAATAACCATTCCCAAAACATCCAAATGGTATATTTATATGTAATACATATGTAAATACATACATACATACATGTGCATAAAAACACTCAGAATGCACTCAGAGCATTAGAGTGAAAAAAAAAAAGAACCACAGTACATTGATACAGTGTTAAACCTAAATTAGCAAGCAAACTGTGCACTGAAAAAAAAAAATCATACTTGGGGTAAACATTTCATGAGGGTATGATATCACAGGTTGCATAGAATTGTTTTCAATTTCAAAATAAAATTGCAAATAAATGCAACAATTATAAAGTACGGACTATGAAGTTAGTGTCTCTTATACGATATACAGTAGTATGAGGTAATCAGATTTTATGGCAATCCGGTGCCTGGATCTGAAAAAACAAATAGAACAAAAAACACTGATACATGGAAAGTATGTACGATGTTTCATCTTATGTGCACAATGTTTTAATGTAAACACGGCACATAAACTGTATTTCTGTATTGTATATTCAAATCACAATAACAAACAAGTTATACAGAGACAGATAGGTTCAAAATTAAAAAGGGAGAGGAAATGATGTAATATGTATATATATTTATATATATATTTGTGTCAGCACTAAATAACAGTGAATTGAAAAATAAATAAATACATTTAAAACTAATGAACCAGGGAGAAAATTTCTGATAATAAAGATGATTGAGGGTAAAACATTTCATTCCCTTTAAGTGAAATCTGATAGATCTATTTCATGATACAGTATTTCAATGTTTTAAGAAATTTAACAGCAAAGTCAAAACATAGTCCTGTTGTGAGAGGGATTTCGTGTCCCAGCTACCTCTCCACTAAGCTACAGTAGTCAACACCTGCGTACCAGTTGTGCCAAGAGTCTAAATAATTCCTGTTGGAGGAAGAGCATCTGGAACCGCTACTATACTTCACTGTACATTGCAGACCAGCTGTCTTGAAAGTCGCATCAATACAACAGACAGTTTAACTTCTCTTATGTGTTCTAGTGCCACGTGTCAATCATAAGGTCTTAAAAATCAAATCAGTTTCAACAACTAAATATTAGGGGGGATGTAACAATAACAATCAGTTACTGATAAATACTGTTTGTCATGGGATATACTGTAAAATACAAACTGGCGGAAATACAGTAGGTCAGATGCATTTGTCACAATTCCTTTCAAATCAGCATTGAGGCTTTTTTTTAATAATTTCAAACAATTTTAAAATACAAAAATAAATGCATGCAAAAAACATGAACACAGGAAAACAATATTCACTCAAATGTAAAAATCTTTTTTTTTTTCATTTGAGTTGGATGTCATGCTGATCACACAAGACAAACATAACACACAATGGAACTGTGAGTTCTTAGGCACGCACTGAATCTAAGGACAAATCATTCTCTACAAGAACAGACAGGTTTACCCAGTGTAAGCAACCTATGGACAGTGTCTTAATGCAGCAAATCAAACATACAAAGCCTGTTGTTAACAACTACTACAGTATGCAAAATATCCAGCTTCTCTTGACCTACTCAGTAGAACACCAAATGCCTTTCAAGTTAAGAGGCATCTTCTGTAGCACCTTTGGAAACATAATAACACCTTTTTTTGGATCAAGTGGCATCAAAAGCAAATCAATAAGTGAGTGATGACAACTTGACAAGTGCCTTGAAACAGCTCCAAACACAGTCTGTCTCCTAATTAGTGTCCAGACCACTGCCTGGACGTGGAAGTGATGCGGTATTTCAAGTAGATTTCTGAATAGAATCAAAGCTCTTGTAATTTGTGTCGCTTCACACACAATCTTCAATTTTTATCTAAATGTGAGGCACTTGCAAAACAAAAATATTAACTAAAACTCTCAATCATCAGTCTGTTTGTTAAACCTCAGAGCTGTCGCTGTTGCTGAGGCCTTGTGTCATCATGGGCTCTCTGCTGCTGGAGTTCTTGGGTACATCTTTCTTCTCCCGCTTGGACCGCACCAGCAACACCACCACGATGACGATGAGAACCGTGAGGAGCAGCCCGACAAAGATGCCAATGATCAACACTAGTCTGTCGTCACTGTTGTCTTTCTGGTTGAGCTCGTGGGGTATGATCCCTTTGGTGAAGATTTCCCTCTCTGGGCTCGTCCTCCGCTGGCTGCTGAGGTCCAGCGCGATGTGCAGGATGTTGGTGCCGCGGTTGTTACTCACACCAATGTCCTCTATTATGTCCGGCACATCGTTGGCCGATCTTCTGGTGCGATGTTGACCCTTTGGAAGCAGGTCTGTGTGCTGGCTCATCACATGGTATTCCAGACTTCTCTTCCCTATGCCACGGTTGGCGTTGTCCCGAGAACGGACAGTGTAGATGGTGTGAATGTACCACTCTCTCCCTGTGGACACCTGGAGAGAGCAACAGTTATTGCTTTAGAAAGTGATACCTCTTCATGGCACAGCTTTCTGCAGAACATACGTTCCCTTTGTTCCCTTGTCTTCTTCCCTTTATGGGTCCATTTCAATAATTGCTCTGGTATTTTCTTGCTTTACTGGGCAAACATTAACAATATGAAGTAAAAGCAGAAACATTTGCAGCCATTGGAAAATGCTCACCAGGCCTGTGGACACTGATACTGACTTTTTCTCCTTAACAAGCCAAGAAACACAGACTCACTGACCAGAAGAAGCAATCTGGACTCGACGGATAGGGAGAATCTGAGTCATACATATGACCCTGTCAGCAGAGGCCATACAAGGGCCAGCTCACATGGTGACAGGGTTGTTCACTCATAATAAGGTTTTCATGAGGATGCAGAAAGTGTCTGGTCAGTGAGTCTTTCTCTCAGCTTGTTAAGAAGAAAAAGTAAAATATCAGTGGAAAAAAATATTTCTAAGGTCACGTTCTCTGATTCTTATGCAGAACAGAATATTTTAATTTCGCTCTTTCCACTTGCTTTCCACCAGCTCCCTGAGAGTTACAAGCCAGACTGACTTAAAAAATAAAGTCCAGCACAATATAACATCTGGAATGCATCACAGATTGGTGAAATATGAGAATGTGGACTATTAGGGTCTGTCGTAAATGCGTGTCTTGTACCTGACCTATATACTGACCTGGAAGAGGGCTGAGGAATCCATTCTGAAACCATCTGACCCAGGTTGTCTCACTAGAGCTAAAGCGCCAGGGTCATCCACCGCCAGGAAGGCATTGAAAGCTACATTGCCAAATGAGCGGGCCTGGGTCTCTGGTTGGGCCTTATCCTGGAGTGAGAAATGAACACAGGGAAGAATATCTACCACTGAAAGGACACAAAGCATATATGACATGAAGAGACATATATTTTTGTTACTTACAATGATCTTGAATCTGTAGAGTAGTGATGGAGCATCAGCCAGACAGCCAAACTCAAAGTTGCTGGGGTTGTATTTTGGCACATAACCATCAGCTCCAGTACACAGGAACACTTTTTCTATATTACAAATAAAGGAGTCGCCCAAGTTCTGCACCGGATCCACCATCACTCGGCCGTAAACTGTATCCCCTGAGGGAGGAGAAATAAAGTTCTCATCACTGAAAACACATGTAACATGTCACACGTGCATAAACTTGATGGTCAAACTGAAGGTAGAACTAAATAAGGTTTTACAGATGCGGTTCTCTTACATGATTATATTTCACTCAGACAGCTAAAACTACTCCCTCAATCTTGGCAACATGAGTTTTCTCCAGTCTCACTTTGACAGCAGCTTCAAGGACTTTTCAAAGACTTTCAAGATCTTGTTGAGAGAAAAAAAAAACCAGGCTCTCGTAATTAGCTTGTTTTGGGAAAAGACATCAAAGTGGTCAAAATGACACTTCATGGAGGCCTCTCATTCCCCTTTCATTTTTATCCTGTTGAGTCAGGAAATAATGGGGAACATTTCTGCTAAATCAACAGAAACATTCTTTCACACAGGGATTTCTTTTTGATCAGCAGAATGGAGTTAAGTCCCAGGAGCTGAGCAATGAAGCCTTGTTTGTTTTTTTGTTTAATCCACAAACTTCCAAGTGCTGTTGGTATATTACGACTGCAAGTTACTGCCTTACCCTGTGAGAAGGCAGTGTCGCTCTCTTGTCCAAAACCCATGGAGCCATCTGAGAGCCAGAGCGTCCGTTTAGACAGTAAGATCATCTGCGTGTTCAGGCTGAACTCAGCGGCCACGGGGTCGCTGACCTGGCAACACACAGAAGACAGACAAAAACACACAAATCATATTTAGAGACAAAGCCAAGTTAGAATTTAACAGTAGAAACAATAGGTGAAACATCTTGTTTTGATCCTAGTCAACACATCATTATATACAGTAACTACAGTATATATGCAGTAGAATATGACACATTTGAAGACAAGGCCGAATAAATGAATTCAAATTAAATAAATAAATAAATGAATTAGTAAATACTATAATTCCAGTACTCTCAGCTTACTCTCTTTATATTCT